GGTGAGGATAGTAAAACGATGCTTTAATACAGGTGAATGAATAAGAACTAATTAGTTATGTCCTTTCTTCAATTTTCTATCAGAACAAAACACATACAGCAGAGCATTTCTTAAAAATGGGGTGAAAGACTAACGACATGTGTATAAGAAAGGAATATGTTCGTGAACATATTTCTCAGTTTCTTAATTTCAGTCTATTTTGAACTAAAGAGAAAGAACTTTATTATTGCACTGCAATATATTAGCGCATATTAGGCGCCTCCTGATTAATGACTTAAAGGATTTTTATCTTAGTCATCTATAGATAAACCTGACATATTTATCTATCCATAAATATTTTCTTTGGACCCCCCCTTCTATTCTCTACTTGTTTTATATATGGACGATCGTTTAACACATATACAAAACGGAAGAGCAATGAAGCGTATTCATTTCACTACCGTTAGAACCAGTTACTTATAAAAAGGAATTGGTTAACATGTTTATTTAAACTTGAAATTGGTTAGATTCGCTACTGTTACCATTAGTGCTATTGCGCTGAATTAATCGCATTTCCGGTGAATACACGTTACACAACTTTTATTTAGATGACAGACGGTGAGCTTAATCTTTGTCATTCAGCACGTGTCTCAGTAGTTGAACGGACCGCTCAGCATATAAGAGATAGTGACGTTATTGAAGTAGGATGTGTTGCTAACGACTACATCGATACAGCAGAAGTATCTTATGTAGAAGCAGAAGGTATTGTATCGAACGTGGACGATCCTGATATGGTTATCATAACATTTCGTAGTTGTTTTATCGGTATTTTATTTACCGGAGTGATATCATCCATTAATCAATATTTGGATTACACTGCCACCCCATATCTAGTACCACCATATGTGCTTCTACTATTAACATACCCCATTGGTAGACTGTTGGCCTGGTGTTTACCGAAAAAACCTTTTAACATCTGGAGATGGAACGTTTCGTTTAATCCATGTCCCTTTACGATCAAGGAACATGCGATTATTTACATAATGATTTTTATTGCCAACGAATATTCATTTATTAGGTTCGCTCATCGTTTTAATCAATAGCGCTAATATCGGATTTTTCTAAACTCCATTTGCAATGCATATAATAATTGAACTTTGAGACAGTCAAACAGTGGCAGCTACCGACATGCTTATCCTTAAACAAGCTTACTTTAGTCCAAATGCAAATTTTTCTTGGGGATTTCTTCTTGCACTGTCATCACAAGTGATGGGATACGGACTGGCTGGTAAGAAAGATAAATAAATATTTCTAATCATCAACGTGTAATTTGTATAACCAGGTATATAGTGTAAGTTTTGCACAGCGAATGATGTCGATTGCAGATAGATGAGGGTAACTGAGAATAGATTAAGACCGTTACTGTACAGTAATAATGTGCCTCACATTATCGTTACTGTCTACAGCCTCTTCTTTTATAAGTTCATATTTTTAAAGTATTTTTGAGAATCTTTTTGAGAAATTTATGGAATGATCAGATTTATTGTTCGTTCTCAAATTTTTATGTAAACAAACTAAGGTTTCATACACAGGGTTTCGTACCGTCCTCTAATTACACAACAAGAGTAAATGGAGTGACGCACATGAATATATTTTTTCTTCTCTTCAAACAATATTTCGTTTGTACATATACTACACTGTTAATTCGATTTATTTTCTAGTTTATAAAAAATCGACTTTGAAAATTGAAATTGATTTTAGAGCTTTTATGGATTCGTGAACGATTTTATAAGAATATTGAAAGTGCTTATTTTCTACTTTGTTAAAAATCGAGTCGATTTTCAAGAATTTTGATTTTCAAAATAGTTCGAAAAATCGTCTTGATTCTTCAAGTAATAGCAAATGTTTTCTGATATCGTTAAAATTGAAGACTTGACTGATTATACAGAAAGTCAAACTGATTTTTTAAAAACAGTAACATCCAAAAGACATACAAAAAAAAATTACTACCTGATAACATCAAATCGATTGCACAACTTCAGTCGTTGTACAGAATATAGGCACAGAACAGTGAATTTGGTTTTGCAGTTTACTGCAAAGCTAAATTCATGTGTTTGAATCTCTATTTGTAAAAAAATTGATTTTGTGTTTTTCGATAGTTTTAGTTTAGAATACTATAATCGAATATTTTTCCGCTTGTATTCTGACAGAATAAAGCTTATACCAACAGTATTTGATTTTCTTTAAAATAAAATTCATTTCTGGAAAATCGTCTTTACTTTCTGTGAATTTGAAAGGAACTCGCTGGCATTTTTTAGTCAAACGAGAAGATGTAAAGAAGGCAAGTACTGTAATGGACACAGAAGCTTTTTGGTTGTTTCAGTCAATCTCTGATTGATGAGACACTTAAAATCCTCTGATTAATGGCTCAATCGCATACTCTAAGGAGTATTGCTCTACATTAATACATTGTTAGTGTTTATTTTACATTTTTATCGATGATGGTTTTCACGATACTATGCAATATTATCTGTTATTTATTTTAATTATATTTATATTATTTCTGTTAAAATTTTAACGATACATCATTCAGTCCACCATTTTGATTCTCTTACTCACCATTCATATTTCGAAAGTATAAGCGCATTATGACATGTTATTTCATTGACAAAAGAAAGCGTAACTGATTAATCCTTTACTATGCCCTTTCCTTCGTTAAAAAACGTACAGAATAGTTCTTTCTCCTTAGTTCAAAGCAGACTGAAATTAAGAAACTGAGAAATATGTTCACGAACATATTCCTTTCTTATACACATGTCGTTAGTTTTTCACCCCATTTTTAAGAAATGCTCTGCTGTATGTGTTTTGTTCTGATAGAAAATTGAAGAAAGGACATAACTAATTAGTTCTTATTCATTCACCTGTATTAAAGCATCGTTTTACTATCCTCACCCATGAAATATTTTTGTTCCTAGCGTTGGTTAGCACGCATTAAAACAAATAATAATTTAACGCATGCGCACAAGTTAAACGGTCTGGAATACGTGCAAACGTGTTATCTTCTGAACTTGTATGAGATCAGAAATGTCTCGAAATTAATCCTAACTCGTTAAAAATAGAATTTCATTATAAAAAATTAAAAGTTGGGTTAAAACGAGTTAATCAGGAAAAGTTTAAAATTGTAACGCGACAGATAAGCGGATTAACGCGTTAAAACCGCATTAAATGTTTCAAATTCGGTGATTCTAACGAGTTAGACTGATAGTGCGTGATAACGCCCCCATAATCGTAAATCGTTTAAACTCGTTATAAATTGAATGAGTTAGCTTCTTGGATGCGTTTACACTCGTCAGAATAGTACTTCGGATCAATGTAATTTTAACGCGTTATAGTGCGTGTATAGCGTGTTTATCCTTTTCAGTCAGGTTTCTGTTCCGTTGATGGATCCTAAGATTCACATGGCTATGGTCTAGATACTATTCATTAGCAGACCAGTCTCTTACACAGATATATAGTAAGAGAAAAACTTACAAAATTTTCTAAGTGAATGTATCGTATATCTCGTAGGGAAAGACATACTATTTATATATGGACTGGTCATGCAAAACAAAAGGGTGCCTGCAAAATTACCGTTCTAATGCACTGGAACGCGAACGCAGTGAGTTATTATCTAGTGAGTTATTGTTGAACGAGTTTTAACGAGTTAAAATCTATTCTAACCCGTTTAAACGAATTAGATAAAGTTTTATTCTGGAATGTACATATATTCTTTATTTTTAAACGCGTTTACACGCCACATTATCGATTTTTGGAAAATTTCAATGCGTGGAAACTCCTTAAATTGCTTAGAACCATGTTTAACCGGATCTCTCTCGTTACCGCTTCGAAGAGACGTTAACACGCGTCATATTTGAAAATTTCACCGGCTCAAACGCAATTTTCTCGAAAACTTTTTTTTTAACGCATGCTAACATGCGTTAGGGTATCCAAATTATTTCATGGGCAGTAAATCTTTCTGGACTCCATGTAAAGAAAAGAAACGAAAAAAAATTTAAACGAGAAGGACGCTGAATAATTTTCAAAAAATCGTTCTAGATTTTCAATTTCTTCAAATATATATTCCACTTTTGATTTTCAAATTGTCGGTCCACATATGAATTCGCCGGAGATTTTCAAGTTTAAAAAGCCTTGTTGATTTTATGCAAAATCGATTTATTTTCTAAAGTATCGCTTTTGATTTTCTGAAGAATCAACGACGATTTTCCAAAAAAGCTGAAGTGGTTTTCCAGAAAATCCAAACACATTTTATGAAAAAGGTAAAAATCTTGAAAATCACGT